AGACTCTTACCTTGGAGTCCTTCACCACCTTCTGCTCTTTGGATATATTTTCCCCAACTCAGGAAAAAAGAGAAATAGGGACATCTTTGTGACGACCTTATTTGGCAGAGAACCTTTGTGCCTTAGCAAGATGGACAACCAACAATGGTTTAGTTCCCCATGCTCACCGCAGACCCGGCTCACACTCATCTGGAGTACAGCACAGCAGCTTGCCTAGATCAGAGTCTCTCTAATCTGAACAGAATACCTGAGTTTAAATACACGAGCTTAAAACTATTTCAGGGGACTCGAGAATCCTATCGATGGGTTAATTTAGCCTTAGCCTGGGCATCTGCCCATACACCTTACAGGACAGGAGCCCAGCAGAGAATTTGGCTCCTCAGCTATTGTTAAATTTGTCTGGCTAATCTGTGACTCATAATGTGTCATTTTACCTCATGGTTCCCACACCTGGTCATGACCAGGAAGGAGGAATTCCCATGGGGTTGTGTCCTGACTTCCTGATTTTGTCTATCAGTGAGGGGTCATGAGCGGAGGTGGTTTCTATCATGCTTAATTATGAATTGACTAGGACAGCTATAAAATGGTAATGACTATCATTACCAACCTCGCCTGCTTCAGAGGAATCAAAGTGTCTGCTTCTATCGCTGATCTCACTGGCCATCCCAACTCCACCAAACTGTTACTTACACGGTCTGCTGTGGTCAGAGCACCTACCTGTTAAGAGAGTCAAAAAAACAAATAGCTGTCATTTGGTCGTCCCCTTTCACTAATTTTATCTGGATTTTTTTTTTCTTTCCTTTTGGAATCGATTTAGGTGGCTGATAGTCTAGGCTAATGAAGACGAAACACCTAGCACAAGGCGCAAACAGCAGAGTATGTCTTTCCTTGAAGGGGCTGATCATTGGGCTGAGACTAGGATTATACCGCCACCTTGTGGCACCTGCTTTTAAAGTGAAAGGCCATCGTTTTTTCCTGATTGAATCACATATTAAGAACATGAAAGGATATAAGAGGATGAGAGATGATGGAGCAAAATAATTTTGCCCAAAATACTTATTAAAATTTGCTTTCCAGATCTTTTCAGAGAAGCCCCAACAGAGTTCTGTAACCTCAAGTACTGACCTTTCTCAGAGCGAAATGACAAGTCCTCACAGTAGTCTGAATTATATAAAATTGGGGTGGGAGGATGGTACCACTGCCTATTTTACAATATCACACATTTGTATTAAGTGACACTCTCAGCTGAGTGTACATCAGTGCAGCCAATAATGACGTCTATTCTAAAAAATAAATGATATGCAACTATTACTCTTTCATGAATATGATGATCTTCAGCTCATCTCAGTAGGGCATACGGGTGCCGTCATAAATGTTAGCTGAGGTACAATGAATGGTGTTCCCTTTCCCTATGTTGAGTAACTCATAGAATATTTAGAATGTTTACCCATGTGGTCTGACAAATATTTTTCAAACTTCCAAAAACTAATATTCCACAGTTGAATACAATTTTATTGAGTCAGGTAAGAACAGGACTGAAAGAAAGAGGCTTAAATAACTCCATGAAAACATGGGAGATTGCTCCATATTGTTCATGGTGTCCAAATTGTCCTGCTGCTACAGATTAATTCTGGATACTCAGAATACCATCCCTGATATACCCATTAGAGGAAAATAAGATGGTCCTCAGGAACGTATCACAGACTTTGGAGCCTTTGATTCTCTTTTCCACAAGGAACTTGTCTGGGAAAAAGGCACAGTGTATAAACTGGCAAATATCATCATTGCGGCAGGAGCCCTTCCTTTTCAGGGTGACTTTTTACTTCCCAAACACTGTGCCTCTTGTCCGCTTATTCTATCCCGCTATTGCTAATCCTGATAGAAGCCTTCCAGGCAGAGGGAACGTCACAGATTCCCCCTCCCGCCCCCCCCAGTTTAGAACACACTAAATTGGCCCCTGAGCAGTGCTTTTAACCTCCATGAAACCAGCGCATGAATCTAGTCTTGGGAGGAAAGGCGATTGCACTGCCTGGACCACTAGATCTGTACTTTCATCCCCAGCAAGAAAAAAGAGCATGGAGTGATATGTGCATCCAGACACATGGTGGGGTTCCATCTGGACATACAGTCCAAGCTTAATTGTAGATAAGACCCCAAAATGGAAGGCGATGACCAGAGAGGGAATGGGGGAGAGAATTCGGAAACCGAAGTCCAGACAAAGGAAGAGACCAAGAGAGAATAACAACAGCTGACACAGCCTTGCTGTACAATAGGAAACACCCCCACACACCCCAGGTCTGCTGCAAGGGTCTAGAGGTCAGGTGTGTGCAAACCCCTGCTCTCCCGCCAGGCCCCTAAAAGGGGGGCTGCCCTTGCTGCTCTGCCACCACTGCTGTGACCTGGTCCTCCCGTGTCCTCCCGTGGAGTTTCACTCTGAGGCTTCTAACAGGCAGAAGCTGCCCAAACCACAGGAGCCCTTGTCCTTCGGGAATACAGCTCAGAAACGCACTGATGGTCATGCTTTTCCTTGTGAGAGCCTTGTCCGGGAACAAAGTAACTCTTTTAGTAGCTTTTCAACAAATTTTAGTTGAAGGGGAGTGAGCCAGGAGCCTTGACACATTTTCTCTGAGTTACATCTTTTATTCAGTAGCTCGTAATAATCCACTCTCATGGTCTCCCTACACCGTTCCGATAGGCTGGGCACCCCACATAACTTCATTGTTGAGAGAGAGAGACAACGTGTGCAGAAAGGGAGAAAGGTCCTACAGATTCCACACTAGCTTGCTGGATAGATATCTGGCTCTTGAATAATTCACACAGCAAAATATTTTCTAGGAATCTGGCACTTTATAAATAGACATTGATTAAATCTGTTGTATGAGCGAATGAGTGAACGAAGGAGGGAATCCACAAACGCCTGCACAACAGATCTCTTTTGTTTGTGTTTCCTAAAACGTGTTATGCTTTGGGCCTGTATATAAAAATTTATTTCATATATATTCATAGGTCGCCATGATTTATGTGCTTGCTTGAATATATTTTAGTAACTGGTTGTGGTGCCAATTTGTAGTCTAAATTTAAAGTGAATTATTCATTGCTTCAACAAACCAGAAGAAAAGCGGTGGTTATTTTCATTCAGTTATAGCTGTCCAGGGGCAAACATACAGAAGCAATTTGACCATCCATTACTGTATGCGTGTATTGTTTACAGGCATAATATATAACCAGCACAGGAAGAAAGACGCTCTGTCTTACGTAGGAAGTTGTACGTTTATATATTTACAGAGCATTAGGAAGTGTTCATGTTGATTCAGGGCCCCAAGGAAAACAAGGACTTCATCTAAAATACTCTCTGCATACATTGTAGATAAAAGTTTCTTTTTCTCCAGCTTTTTATTATTCTTCAATCTTGAATATTCAAATAAATGTATGTGCTCACTTGGAGAAAATTTGGTCCAATTGAACTGCCTCTGCCAAAATGGCTTTTATTCTCCAAGCCCTTTCAAGGGGCACTCCTACTTGGCACTAAGCCAGCCAAGTGCTGGCTTGAGGCACACAGCGCAGTGCTCCCAGAATGTACTCAGAGCTCTTTCAGTGAAGCAAACGACAGTGTAAATATGGATCGTCTTCTGCAAGGAAAAATAATTTTTTCAGTTCTGATTAAGATAATTTATTTGTGAAATTTGAGATTAAAGGCAGTCCCTTTTAAGTTAGAATATTCTAGAATTGAGCCAAAGCAAATATTCTTTAAGCAAGGCCTTTCTGACAGGAGAGAACTATTAATTTTTTAAAAATTTCTGAGTCTAGTTGACAGCTAATGTTACATTAGTTTCAGGTTTATAAGATAGTGATTCAATTCTCTATAGGTCATGCTCTGCTCACACAAGTGTAGCTCCCATCTAGCAGCAGACAACGCTGTTACAGTACCACACTGTATTCCCTATGCTGTGACTTTTATTCCCGTGATTTATTCATTCCATAACTGGAAGCCTGTATCTCCCAGGATAATCATTAGTTTTTAATACACTGCTCTATTTTTCAAAATCTGTAACTGAAAATATTCCACAATACTCATGTGACCATTTTCATTTAGAAGATTCACAGCTGGAACAGGGAGCACGCAGTCGCCCCTGCTGAGAGGGCGCTTCCTCTAGGGGCTAAGACGACAGTTCTGGAGTCTGAAATGGCTGGGCTCCCATGCTTACCCTGCCACGCTGCATCTGTGCCATCTTGCAGGAACTTACTCAATGTCTCTGCCATTCAACTTTCTTGCCTGAAAAATGGGGATGAGCAGGGTGTTCTTCACAGGCCAGTAGCAGTAAACAAGGAAAGTGTTTAGCACCAGGACAGGCCAGGTATTAAAATGTACTAGGTACAGCTTTTGTGCTTAATTTGTAGTTTTTTATAAAGAGGTCTTATTTACTTCTGGTGATGTATTCTTAGCACATACTTTCATCTGTTCTTTGGAAAATGTGCTTATGGAGCGCTCACAGCAGTTCAGTGAAAACTGGCTCTGAAGACAATCACAGTCACAACAGATAACTGTTCTGGGGTGAATAAAAGGACATTCTCCTTCATTAACTGCACCGGCCTTCAACCTTCTCCAAGAGTGGTAGCTTCGAGAACTAGGGAGATAGGTGGGGAAGGTGTGAACTGTGTTTTTTGAAAGCTGTAATAAATGCTTTCCACTGCTCTGGGAGAAAAAATCCAAATAAGCATTTATTTGCTATGGAATTCATGTGATCTCATTTGATTTGAAGACCTTAAGAATCTGTCCCCCAACATATTCAAAATAGTAAGCTATCCATTGTGCTGGGCGCTTGTGCATTCCCACTGTACGTTTTTAGGTGAGGGAAACAAAGGCCTAGACAAGAGAGACCCAGCACGTCCTGCACACCCCTCCCTGACTCTGCTCAAAGCCTCCCTCCCAACACGCATGCATTACAAGACTCTATCACTTCAGTGAGAAGTTGTTTCAGAACACACCATTCTCTCTGCAGGAAGACGAAGCACCCCATGCCTATGTTCCCCATCTGAAGGACTGACAGACTCCATCAGCGTGTGCAACTTCGTGCACCCACCATGGGCCCCCCGGGGAGCGTGCTGAGCAGTGGGCAAGTGCAGGTTGTCCTGTGGGGCAGTTTGGCCGCTGTTGCCGCTTTCTTCCTCATCGGCTTCCTGATTTTTCTGTGCTCCAGTTGTGACAGGTGAGAGCCAAGGGATATCCAGTGGAACCCTAAAATAACCCGTTCCCTGTACCCAGAAGATTCTTCACCTGAAAAACATGTAGGAATCCCACTCCGCAAGCATTCACAGAAACCCCTGTGTTAAAATTGACTTCTCTGCTGCAAAGCATCCCAGGACATTTTTTTGAGGTTGAATGAAAATCTGTATCTGATTTTGCTGAGGAGCAACTGGAAGAAGCCTCATGTACGAAACTCCCCAGAATGAAATTCTTGCCGCTCTTCTGAGCGCATCCTTGTTAAACTGTATGCTGTCTTTTGCCATCTATGCACATTTGAAGATCTTAAGTCTGATGTGTCTTAAAGGTACTCTTTTTGCTGCCCCTTGAGAGTTACTGAGAATTATTGCTGTTACATGATTTGAAAGGATCATTTTATTAAAGATTGGTAATCTAGAACTACTGTTTCTTAAGAAACAGATTAATTTTCCTATGGGAGAGATGAACTGTATGAGAAATAATCATCTTGTCTTTTTTTAGAGTTAAGCTTCTTCTTCTCCACCCCTCCATGTCTCCCTCATATAAAATGTCTATACTCTCCCAAAAGAGATCTTTGTTTAGGAGCAAAGTTCTTTCTAATGGGGAGTATTTTCCCAGGTGCTCAGACACTGTTCGGATGCTGACAGCCTCCGGGTGGATTGGTATAGACCAGCCAGCCCTCTTCCAAACCCTCCTCCCAGTGACTTCAGGAGAGACCCTGAGGTCTCTGTCAAGAGGGGGGACGTCTGATTCTCTGAACCAAGTAGCCTCCTAATCCCTGCCCAGTTTGGACCTGGGCTCTACAGCTTGGTCTGAGTCCGATCAGAAAACGTGGCCTGCAGAAGAGTTTGCTCCCCTGGACGTGGGAGGACCTGTAATTATTTACACTCCCACTAGGTGTCACTGTTGCCTTGTACATTTGTGGGAAATGTAGTCTCTAGTACTGACAGCTTTCTTTAGACTGTCCTGAGTAAAAATAAATTCTATTTTTATTCGATGGACTTTTCCATAGACTGGAAGTACATATGACTCATCCCAAAAGCATGTATCCTTCCCAGACGTGCCAAAATTTGTATTTTCTTTCATTATTTTTCCAGTCCCATGGCAGTGTGCAGTCAACTTAGCAAAGATCCTGAGTTAAGACAAATGAAGAGTAGAGAACTGTCTGGATTTTTTTTAAAAAAAAAAAAAAAAGGCAAAATCATTTCTAGTATTCTAGATATGGACGTGCCTAGTCCTCTTGTTGTAAACTTGTATTTTCTAATCTGGGAGAAGAGGGAGACCCAGAGAGATGACCAGTCTCATGCTGAGACTTGACCCCCACTCAGACCCTGATGCCTGCAAAGGAGTGATGGAGTCACTTTCCGGCTTTTGCTTCCTTGGCAAAATAAACCGGGATCTTAAAGAGAGATTTAAATGTTGATAAATATTAGGATAGAAAGGGGAGTGTATGTTTGATTCTAGATAGCATGTTTGACAATCCAGCAATGTTTGATTTTTCCATTTCAGAGAGAAGAAGCCGAGGCAGCACAGTGGGGACCATGAGAACCTGATGAACGTGGTGAGCCCGTGTGCACATGTCCGTGTGTGCTTTAATACGTCAGCCGCTTCTCTGAGCACTGTGCCCACGAGCTGGCAAGCTGAAGGAAACCGAGGGAGAGAACCCAGCCAGAGTCTGCTGGCTGTCTAGGCTGTGCCCTCTCTCTGTAGGATTCTTCTTCAGCGTGGCTAGAGGCCTGTGCAATTGGCCAGATTGTCTGGGAGAGTTTCTAAAATGGATGCACTCATGCTGCTGCCAGAGAGGGCCTTCGAGAGCTCCAGCCTACCTGCGACCGCAGGGCCGCCTCTGACCCGCTCGGCCTCTTACCGTTTGCTACGTCTGCGTAACAAAGGACCACTGCCTGTGGGGCTTAAGTAACACGGGGACTGTCTTGGAGTCCTGGAGGCTAAAACTGGTGATCAAGGTGTCCACGGAGCTGGTTCTTTAGAGAGCTGGGAGGGCGAACGTGTTCAGGCCATTCTCCTAGCTTTGGCGGTTTGCTGGCAGTCTTGGCGCTCCTTGGTGCCGTCGCTGTCATGTGCTGTTCTCCCTGTGTGTCTCCATGGGGTCTGTCCGCTCTGCATGTTTCTGCGCAAGCTTCCCCATTAGGACTCCAGCATGACCTCATCCTGTATATGGCCCAGATGGATTTCCACCATCCTCCTTTCTTACGGGGCCTGCTCAGGCCCCTCAGATCCCCCCTGGTGAGGTGCAGCGTGAGTCTCCTGGTCATGTTCTCTCCACTCAGGGTCATGCCCTCGCCTGAGCCACTCTAGCAGCTGGGGACCGGGCCACCCCCGTACTGGCAGGGCTGACGGCATCCATCTTGCTTGAGCCCGTGGCAGTGTGAAAACAGAAGTGTTTCCAGTCCCTGGATTTCTCAAGATCAGGGAAAAACTGCTTTGGGGGAGAGGGTGTGAAACATGGAGCGGGCAGACTGAGGCCGAGCTTCCCCAGGAGGTGTCTCACTACTGGTCTCCCCTCCCTACAGAGGGGCAGGACTCTTGTATCCCCAGCAGCTGGGAGCCCCTGGGGTTTCCTAGCCTCCTTCTCTGGGCACGCACACCACACCCACGGCTGTCCTGGGTTCTCAGCACCCAGGACCATTTACCCTTTTCCCATCTGTCAACCCACTTCTCAGCTGCACCCCATGCCTCTGTTCCCACAGACTGCTGCTATGGCGGTGGTGGGGGTGGGGTGGGGGCTTTACTATTGCTCCTCCCACACGCAGGTCCCAGGAGCCGAGTCTCTCCACCACCCCCCATGCTCCTCAGTGCCAGGTGCCAGGTGAGGTTAGGGCAGGATCCCCATGCCTCGGGACTATTTGAGGCTAGGATTTAGTGGTGGCTCTTCTGGGGCTCAGTGGGGAGGGCCTGTCCTCCATCCTGTGTCCTTCCTGAGCAGCGGTTCTCAGGGAGTGGCCTGTGCTGCTGGCGCGGGGCCCAGGGAACTGTTAGCAAGCCCCCCACCGTGTGGTTCTGCTGGATGCTCCCGCCTGAGCGCCCCCGTGGTAGACCTCCAGCGCCTGCTCATCCACCCCAGGTCAGCAGCAGCCCTGGGTGTGAGGGAAGATGGTGGCAGACAGGTGAAAGGAAGACGGAGATGCTCATGTACCACAGCCTTCACAACCCCACAGCCTCTTCTTACACGGGTGTGCATGTGCACAGGGGCAGTTGTGTGTGAGCTCACACATACAGCCTGTCCACCCAGCTCTAAGAGCTTCTCTCTCAGCTTCTAAATCTTGTTCAACTTGCAGACTCGCCATTTAGCCCTAAGAAGCCCCTGCGGTCAGCCTCACCACCACCACCCACCCCGTCCCCAATCCCAGCTCTTCTACATCCCGGCTCCCCCCCTGAGCCCTAGAGCAGCCACAGCTAAATCCTAGCTTCAAACAGTCCCAGGCACAGGGTGCCCTGGAGTCTGCACATGCGGCTACCAAGAGAGAGGGAGGCTCACTCTGCGCTCCCCTGCAGGATGTCTGTCATGGAAGCTGAGATTAGACGTGGTGGCTAGAACCCATTATGCTACTTCAGCAGAGATGGGTTGGGATGCTGTTAGGAGCCAGAATGGGGGCCTTCCCCCCTCCACCACCCCTCTGACTCCTGTCCAGGTGGGACCCTTCTGTGCTATGAGAGTCTGCTATGAGAACCTAAGTTCAGGACACTCTTCACTCAGGAGCAGCAGACTCACAGGAAGGGTCCATGACATAGCGTGAGCTGTTTGCTGCTATTATTATTATTATTATTATTATTTGGTTCCCAGTAAGAAGTCAGAGAATTTATGAAGCCAACTGGCCAAGCTTCTGGGGCTGCTTATATAAGAAGTTTCCATGTGGACTCCCGGAACATGACCCAGCTGTGGCTTCCTGGGTCACACATGCTGTGTCTTCTGCGAGTAGGATGTGGGAACAGGTCACATTAGCAGTGATTCGGGCTGCCGCATCTCATTCCATGTAATATCCCCACATTCGAGCCTGGTAGGAAAACGGTCAGTGTCGTTCTTCCCTCCAGGCATCCTGACTCCGTGACACTAAGAAAGATTTGCAGACGTGCTCTTTAACATACGGAGTTCTTGTGAAGCCTGATGCAGAGACTTGGCAGACATCAGTGACGTTATCCCCTTACGCCAGGCTGCAGTCTCTTCCCGTCTTTCCTTCAGATGGCACGTTTCTGTTAAGAACAGCATCTTGCAGCCCCTGTGGCACATCGATGAGCCTGCTGTATGCGGAGTCCATTCTGACCAGCACGGGAGCTCCTGGTCCCCTTTTCACCTTGAGCTAAAGGGACTGATCCCTTATGTCCCACCTGTAGCCCACTTGCAGAGCACGGGGCAGAAAGCTCTGCAGATGGTCTTGGAAGACTCCCAGGGTGCTGAAGAGTCCAGGACCACTCTGTCTAGTAGAGCTCCACACCCCGAGGGACGTGGTCCGTGCCTGAGCTGGTGCAGTAGCTGCGAGCGCCTGAGAGCTGCGGAGCATTCCCAGTGTGGCGGGTTCAGCTGAGCAGCTCAGATCTGCTGGGTAGCACTTAAGTTTGAGTGGATCTGGCTTTCTGTTGTTGCTGTTTTCATTTGGAGAAAAAGCCATGGCGACTGTCCTCTGCCTACAGTCTGATCCATGTGGCGTTTGCTTTGCAGCCTTCTGATAAGGAGATGTTCAGCCGTTCGGTTACCAGCCTGGCCACAGACGCGCCTGCCAGCAGCGAGCAGAACGGGATACTCACCAATGGCGACAGTAAGTTCTGCAAAGATACTGGCTTTCCACGCAGGCCTCGTCTCCTGAGAAATAAGTCATTTCAGAATATGCAGCTCAAAAACTAGGCAGTGTGTTCGTGCTCACTCTTAGTATTCCTGCCAGTTTCAGCACAAATAAGCTCATTTGGATGAAAGGCTAATATTGATTCATTGGTTTCTCTGTGCCATTGCTCTAAGATTTGTATACTAACTCATCCCTACAACACCCGATAAGATTACTGTTATTAATAGTATTATTACTCCCTGTAAGATAGCCCTTGTTACAGCTTATGGGTGAAGAAACAGTAGCATGTTGCTGCTTCAACCAATTACCACAAACTCAGAGCCTTAGAACAACAGAAATGTATTAACCCAGAGCCCAAAGTCAGGGTACCAGCAGAGCTCCATTTCCTCCTGAAGGCTCTGGGGTGAATCCATTCCCTTACCTCTTTCAGCTTCTTGTGGCCGTCATCATTTCTTGATTCCTAGCCTTTCCCTCCATCTCCCCGTCTCTTTCCAACTCTCCTGCCTCTTGTCACTTCAAAGGACCCTCATCATCACACTGGGCCCCCCGGGGTAACTCGGGCTGCTCTCCCATCTCGGGCTCAGCAGGTCGTTGATCTGCACCTCTGTGATGCTGGGGTACACATTCCGCATTGCCTACCACTGTACTAGACACGGGCCTGGGCTCCAAGGGCCTTAGAGAACCCTGGTCTAGTCAGTAAAAACAAAGATTAAAACTCCTAAGTCATAAATACACACATACACAGGCATATAAGGACTATACATAATATGTAAGGACCGTATGTTATATAAAAAGTATATAAGAAATATATGCATGAATATAGGTATTTAAGTACACATTTATACATATGCACTTATACTTTTTAAACGTCTATATAAAGACTATAAAATGGAGCGACAGTCATTTAAGAACTTTTTCACTGCCATGTTAAGTATGAGAAGAGTGGGGCTAGGCTTTGTTGATGTATGACGTATGATGATGATGATGCACTTTAACAGTCTCTGGCATGTAGTAGGCATTCAAAAGCATTTGACAGAGGGATGACTGAATGATTCCACACAGTGCACATCTATGGAAATCTAAGAATTTCACATTTGATTTTCTAATTTGGGGTAGAAATGGTAGGGGAAAGGAGCAGCAAGACAGAAGGAAGACCTTTAAAGAGCCACAGGTGTACCATCCCTTTGTACTTGCGGTTGAGGGTACATTTTACCCCACTGTTTCCACCACGTCTGCCAAACAAAAGTGACCACTGAAAAGCAGATGGCTACCAATTATTCCCTCCAAATGGAAGGTGGCCACCATGTGTGCCCCCCAACTTTGGTGCCCAGCCTCTCACAGAATCAGACCTCTGGTCACATTAGACACACTGCCTACAAGAATCCCACCAAGGAGCAATGAAAGTGTGAACCAAATTTATAGCTAAGACAGTTTATTAAACATTGTATTGGAAAGATGTAAAATAGCTGGCCCTAGTTTCAGCTGTGGCTGAAAAATCAACAATCATATTGTCTGCAATTTGCAGTGTAGAGTCAAATAAAAAACAAGCACCTTGATTTAACTTGACTTTGGATTACCCCAGTTCACTGCAATAATTATTTAAGGGATAGTCTTTCTCCATTTTTAATACTTCTGCTGCTTCAGTCCTTTCAGAAGACAGTACTCTGACCTGCATGCAACATTATGAGGAGGTCCAGACCTCAGCTTCGGATCTGCTGGACTCCCAGGACAGCACGGGGAAGCCAAAGTGTCACCAGAGCCGGGAACTGCCCAGAATTCCTCCTGACAGCGCAGTGGACACGATGCTCAACGCGAGGAGCGTGGACGGGGACCAGGGCCTGGGGACAGAAGGGCCGTATGAAGTGCTCAAGGATAGTTCCTCCCAAGAGAATATGGTGGAGGACTGCTTGTATGAAACTGTGAAAGAAATAAAGGAGGTGGCAGCAGCCATGAACCCAGGGAAAGGCCACAGCAGCAGGTCAAAGTCGACTTCCGCTTTGAAAGAGCTTCCGGGGCCCCAAGCCCCCGAGGCGGACTTTGCTGAGTATGCCTCCGTGGACAGAAACAAAAAGTGTCGACAGAGTGTTAACGCAGAGACCGTTCTCAGAAATTCATGCGACTTGGAAGAGGAGGCCCCACCACCTGTCCCCATTAAACTTCTGGATGAGAATGAAAACCTTCAGGAGAAGGAAGAGAACAAGACAGAGGAGGAGGGAGCCGCAGAGGGGACCAGCGAAACAAACAAGGTGGGCTCCCGTGGTTTTCTTTCATGTGCTTTTGTCATGATTGGGCATGATTGGGGCTTTTATTGGCACATCGTTCTGGGAAATATATACAAACACTTACAGGTTCGCTGAATGATGAAAGCTGTTTTAGCGTAAGCTGTGTTTGACTTATTCCCCCCTCCAAATAGTAAAATACTGAAAACTCATGCTTGTAAAATATTTCTCTGTTGGCACCTAACTTGGATATTTTCCAGTTTTTACATCATGTTTAACTGGGACCAAATACTATTTTCTTCATTTTGAAGATCAGGAATTAAATGGAGACTAGACTCTTGGCCACATAGTTACCCCTTCTGCTCGTTGCTGCCCCAAGCAGCAGGATGATCTTTACCCCCTGGGACCCCAGAAGTCAGAGCACAGGAATACACATGGACAAGACAGACTCATAGGGGCCACTGGTAGTACCTGCTTCTATGCGCTTTTATATGAATCAAGTAGATTTTATCTTGGGACAGTTTCAAAACAGTAGCCTACAACTTTTTTTTTTTTTTTAAGAAAAATGTTTATTTTCTTGTTTTTTCCCCTTAATCCACCATTCCCAATCTCACTGCCCTCCTCCCATAGGCATCCATTCAAATTTTTTTTTATTAACATATAATGCATTATTTGTTTCAGGGGTACAGGCTTGTGAATCATCAGTCTTATACAATTCACAGCACTCACCATAGCACATACCCTCCCCAGTGTCCATAACCCAGCCATCCTCTCCATACCCCCCTCACCCCCTAGCAACCCTCAGTTTGTTTCTTGAGATTAAGAGTCTTATGGTTTGTCTCCTTCCCCAGTCCCATTTTGTTTCATTTTTTCCCTCCTTACCCCCGACAACCTCAAATTCCTCATATCAGGGAGATCATATGATAATTGTCCTTCTCTGACTGACTTCCTTCGCTTAGCATAATACCCTCTAGTTCCAGCCACGTCATTGCAAATGGCAGGATTTCGGTTTTTTGATGGCTGCATAGTATTCCATTGTGTGTGTATATACACACACCACATCTTTATCCATTCATCTGTTAATGGACATCTAGATTCTTTCCACAGTAGCCTTAACTCTTAAGTTTAGATATTCAACAAAGCTCTGAAATGTAATAACAATGGCCGAGCTGGGGCACCTGGGTGGCTCAGTGGGTTAAAGCCTCTGCCTTCGGCTCAGGTCATGATCTCAGGGTTCTGAGATCAAGCCCCATATCGGGCTCTCTCTGCTCAGCAGGGAGCCTGCTTCCTCCTCTCTCTCTACCTGCCTCTCTGCCTACTTGTGATCTCTGTCAAATAAACGAATAGAATCTTTAAAAAAAATTTTTTTTAAATAAAATATAAATAAATAAATAAATAAATAAATAAATAAAACAATGGCCAAGCCTTCTCTCTTTCTGCGAACCAGACCACAACAGCCTGAAATTCACATCTTCTGTTGTAAATATCTCCTTGGAATTTAACTAGGCCAGTCTTCTTAGGCAACTACAATATAATTTCTGTTCTCTACACAGGAAAAAGCAAGGTTCTCTCATCTCAGGTTTTGGTAGGAAGGACAAGTAGGTCAGTCAATAGTAGCCTTAAAAAGGATCTGGAGTTCATGATCAAAATGTGAATCCTGGCTATGGTTATAGAGGTTATACCATGTAAGTCATTCTTCACTGTATTCTCTGAATGCATTTCGACTTTAATATTACCCATGAAATCAGCTGCTGAGAGCCTCAATATAGGTGTTTATGAACCGAGTCATGAAATGCAAAAATGCAGCATAACATTTTGCCCTTCATATAAATTGTGCCTGAAGCAATTAAGGCTTTACTTAAAAGCACTTGAAAGATAAGAAGGTCAATTATCTAACCACTACTTGTAAACAATTCTCCAGATATCACATTAGAATCTGAAACTATCCATCTGGGAATCAGATTACTTTTCTACAGTAATACAAGAATGAATAACCCATCATCTCCATTATAAACAATCCTAATTTTAAGTAATTCAGGAACTTGAAATATTTAATATTCATTCATTTTTTCATTAATGCACAAAAAGATTTTAGTGAGCACCAACTATGTGCCACACAACCTTCCAGGTGCTGAGAATACACTGGTCACCAAAACATACAAATGAACAAAAATTCCTGCCCCTGTGGAGCTTACACTTTAGTGGGGAGAGAGAGACATAAATAGACACATAAGACACACACTTATTTTAGAAGGTTTTAAGGTTTACAGGGGAAAATTAGAATAAGGAGGACAAGGAAAGTAGAGTGGGAGTACAATTGTGAATAGATGGTCAAGGCATGCCTACTGTGAAAGTGGCATCTGAATGAAATGTTCAAGGAGACAGGAAAGTTGGGGAAAAGCAGGTGGAGCAGGGAAGGGGCAGTGCGAGGCGCTGAGGCTGGAGCTTGCCCGGCCCACCCATGGAAGAAGAGGGCACAGGTGTAGCCAGAGAAGAGTGATAGAAAAATAACAAAGGGCCCAATCCTGTGTGGCCTGTATTCAAAATCTGAATAAAAAGGGGGTCGTTAGAAAATCTTGAGCAGAAGAACGGATTATTCTTAAGTTTGGAAAAGATCGCCCCAACTGTAGTGTCAAATTCAAGTGTCAAAGGTAGGAGACCAATCAGGTGGGGATTCTCACAAACCAGACAAGAAAGGATGGTGGCTTGGAACAGGGCAATAATGGGAGACGCTAAACGAGAGCCAGGAGTTCTGCTGGGGGACCAGATGTGTAATGAAAGAAAGAAAAATTCATGATGAGTTCCAGGTTTGGCCTGAGCCTTTGGAAAGATGGAATCACCCTTAACTGAAATGAAGAGGAGGACTACAGGCAGGCAAGTTTTGGGAGAAGACTGGGTATTCAGTGCTAGACATCTTCTGTTTTGGACACATACTGGATGCACGAATGAGCAGCCTTATGAGAAAAGGCCTGGGCTGCATTTGTACACTTGGAAATCCTCAGCAGAAAGTTTTTCCTAAAGCTATGACATTGAATGAGGTCATCAAATGAGTGTCAATGGCATCTAGAAGAGTTCCCGGGGCACAGGTCTGGGAAGGAAAAGGAACGAGCAGAGGACACTAAAATAGGAAAGAAAAACAGGGAAGTTCAATGTCCTTGAAGCCAAGTGAAGAAGGTGCAGGGACAGAGGAGTGGCCACTATGGCAAACACAGCAGTGGATCAGAAAGTACGGGCTGAGGACTGACCGTCCCATTGGTTACACGGTGGATATTGGTGTCCTTGGGAGTCTCAGAGGGAGAAACTTGACTGAAATGGGTTTAGGGAGAGAATAAGAAGAGAAAAACTATTTGAGCAATTTCTTCAGACAACTCTTTTAGGAGGTTTTGCTATAAAGGGACGAGGCAATAGATGGAACTGGAAGAAGGGTTGTTTTGTTTTTAGAAACAGAAAGATCAGCATGGTTTCACGTGGGTGGGAATGATTTCATAGCGAGGGAAAAGCTGATGGTATAAACAAAATGGGAGACTTGCTGGAGCACATATTCCTGAGTAGATGGGGAGGGCCAGGATCTCATGCATGAGAGGAGGGGGTCATCTTAAAGAGGGGCTTGGAGAGTTCTTTGGTGATGGGGAGGAAGGAAAACTCACGAATGCAGCGATGGGGGCAGGTGGGTAAAAGTTCATGGACATGTCTTCTGATTTCTTCAGTTTTCTCAGGGCCACCAGCTAAGACTAAGGATGGGTGAGAAGGTGTTGGAGTTTGGGGAGAGAGGAAAAAGTGGGAAGTGGACAGCTAGGAGAGCAGGGACTGGGTGTATGAGCAGTTGTGGTATGACAGGGAGCAGCATTAAGGCCTCACAGGAGGGTTGAATTCACCAGTGATCAGGAAGAGCACTGGGTATTTAATACTACTGGGTATTGAACAACATCACACAGATTTTTTATTAAGTGTTTTTCAGTTGCTTGACATATTTCTTTGTAGAAAAACTTCTTCCCTAAAAAACATTTGAAAACATTTTTATAGATAGACGTGTCACAACATATGTGAAAGAAAAGATGGATTATTGACCTCAGACTATACCTTCCCTTGGTTTGTGTTTATTTTAACAGAGATTTAGCTCATTGTCGTACAAGTCCCGGGAAGAGGACCCAACTCTCACAGAAGATGAGGTGAGTTTTGTTGCTTTTTTTAAATAATCACAAAAGCTCTAAAGAGTTTCTCTCCTTGCATAAATGACTGTCATGTTACCTTCTCCAAAAAAGCTAAAATACTCTCTTCAGCATATGTCTGGAGATCAGGGTTTGGGGATGTTGGCTTTATAATGGTTCAGAGAGTGACTGGCAGAGGGTAAGACATGAAGGAAGAGAGGATAAACAGGTCACCTAAGTAAAAGAAACTGAGTAGGAAAGAAGCATCAGAAAAAAATAGAGGAGGGGAGAAAGTAGGATGAGAAGAGAGAAATTTATGATTGAGAGTTTTAGTGAGCAATCAAGAAGGCCACCTTTGAAGGAAATTAATCATGGACTGGAAAATACAGGAAATTGAACAGGTGGGTATAGGGAACTTAATCCAGTCTAGGAGATGGAGGAGAAAGGTTTTAATGAGGAATTTTGGAGGCCGAGAGCAGGTAACTCCAGGAAGTCCAATTCCAGGCTGGCTCGACAGTCAGATATAGCAGCCAACAGGAGAGGACTCTCAATTCTCCCAAGTACCAGGGCTAAATATTCACTGGTTCAACTTTTCAGTGAACCATTAAACTTACACAACCCAGTATATACATATATACATACATACACACACACACACAGTAAAGCTAGGCTCAGAGAGCTGAACACCTTAATTTATCTGGCGATATATAGCTTCTGCCTAGAATTACTAGTACGGTAAATTTGGTACATGTAGAAAAATGATATGCATATGCAGGTACGTCCCCTCCTACCATCACACTTTGCACAGAGTATTAAAATAGGAAATAGACTACGATCCCACATTGGAAGTTCAAAGATCAGACGAGCTGTCCACAGGTAATGCTGCCCACTTGCTTCTGTGTTTCCTGCCCCCGGGAATGGATCTGCCATCTAGCCACCTGACCTTATAAGCCAGAACCCTGGACATCATCCTTCCCACCCCATTTCCTTACTGTCCTCAAACTCAGTCAGTAGCCAGCTCCCCTGGTTTCTTTCCCACACCGCTCTCTCTGTGCACACAGTGCCCGCCCCTCCCCTCACTAAAGCAGCGTGCCCTCCTGCCAGCCTGTGGCGGCTCCTTTGCCTTCTTCCAGCCTTCTCTCATCCACACTGTTCCACAGCCCTCCCCACTGGACAAGAAAGTAGAATATATGAGAGCTCTGGAAACCAGGCCTTTAAAATACATTGAGACTAAGTAAAAATTTAAATTACTTTTCTTCTAATCTTACATTGTTTGTGGTTGTAGAAAAAAGGACCTAGATATACTGATGAATTTTTAACATAGATTAAAGTGCTGTGATTCACATACAGTCATTTTAGGAAGATGTTTTAGAAAAAAATAATTACGGAAGTCACTTATTTCTGTATTAGTGTAATAGAATGTTAGTCCAGACTGAAACTGAGATCTGAGTTTTCAGTACTATTATCCCAATTTAGCAGAATGATGGGGAAAGGGCTGCTTATAGAAAGAGAAATGGGGAAAAGGTGGAGAGTAATTTAGGAGAACATAATAACAATTTATAGCCAGAATAATAAAGATGAAAGATTTAAGAGAGAAAAGTTATGAAGCCAAATAGCAAGGGGGCTTGAAAGGAACAAAATTTACTCCCAACAAAACAGAATAGTCCTTGAAGGCAAATACTCAAACAGAACATTAGAAGACTTGAGAATCTTTTATAAGCATTAAAATTTACGACATCCTCTGCAGAGTAGGTTCCTGCCCAGAAATAATACGAGTTCCAAATTAATGAAAGAGCCTATAACTTTCTAAAAAGAATATAAAGACCAAGAAAACCCAAGTAATTACAAAGAGTAGGGGCATTTATGGCAGGCATTGGGGGAAGAGCGTTGAGGAGAGAAGCTCAGAGGCCAATCCCATTGTGTGTTCAGCCTTGATGCTCCCGTGAAGGTGAAGAGGCCAGCTAGTACGCTGCCTCCCCTCTTCATCCTCATCTATGATGTACGCTTGATAATCTAGCCACATTTTCGGCTCAGACCACCTTTTAGATATTAAGATATTTGTACCTCGCTAGGAAAAGCAGATGATGTACCTTAATTCTTCCTAATTTCCTCTAAGATTTTGAGTTTGTCAGTGAGATTTTGAGTGAGAATGTCAATTTAATATTCATTAGAAGGGTCAGAGCAACATGGCAAGCGCTTCCCAAAGATGATTTCTCTGGCTCCAAATGTTTGGATTGTCAAGGCCTGGCAAAACAGAGCCCCCAGACTGCAATGAAAAGTTCTCATGCAAATGACCAGTTAGCATGCAGCAGGCCTGTCTTGAGAAGCTTTTGAGGCCAGCTGGAAACTTCATCCACAGTATGTGAGATATGTGAAAGCAAGAAAATATCTCTCTGCACTTGGGAAGCCAAGCATCTGTCAACAGGCATGTTCATTTATTTCCTGGGTATTTGAATTAATCAATCATTATGGCCAAGATAAATATAGATAATGAAGGATATTTCCACTTATTTCCAAGCATGATTTCTAACAGTAAAATAATAACCCTCAAAAAAAATCTCTTAATCAGTATGTTTAATCTATGATTACCAACAAAAATTAAATCCCTCTTGATAGTAGAGGTTATATGGGGGTATATTAGGGAGACTGAGTAGGTATGCCTGGAAAGTAGCCCAATCTTCCCACAGGAAAGAGTGCCCTATACGTTAACTGTCTCCAAATTTCATTTCTGAGTTGGCTGGTTTGCAAATAAGAATGAATTTTTCCCACTGAAGAAAACTTAGCCCCATCTGTAAATGTCTATTTAACCAGTAAGATGCAATGAAGTTGAAAATTAATGGAAAATGAAGCTTTTATAGATATATGTGTATTGCCAACCAGAATCCAGGACCTACTTTTCAGACTACTTTCATGCAGAAAGAGTGGGTCAGATAGTCTAATTCAGTGGTTCTCACACTTTAGTGGGCCTTTGGGGCTCTATGCCCCAGCATTTCTGATTCATTGCTTTCTGGGATGGAGCCCTTAGCTTTCTAATAAATTCCCAGATTCTGGTACTGCCAGTTTGAAGCCCACATTTTGAGAACCATTCATCTAACATGTTTTCTGCCCTTTTTTCTAAAGCAGTAGAGCCTTTTTTTTTTTTTCAGATGAAATAGCATTCTGATAATAGAAATCAAATAAAACATGATACTGTAGTGAGGTCCCAAGGACCTCTTGAACTTCCTGTTCCTCATGCTCTCCTCATGCCTGCCCCTCAGAGGACCCAGAGAACCTGGTGTTCATGGAGTTACGCCAATATGGCTGGTCTACTTGCAAAGTTGAAGATACTATATATAATTGTTCTCTAGAAGTATACTCAAGGATCAGTACAGGTAACAAAGAATCCATTTCGGGGTTTATATCTCAATGAAATGAAACTGTCTTGAAGACGTATTTTCACCCTCATGTTTTTGCAGCATTATTCACAATAGCCAAGACGTGGAAACAACCTAAGTGTTCATCAGCCAGTGAATGAATAAAGAAAATGTGAGGTGTACACACACACACACACACACACACACACACACACACAGGAATATTATTCAGTCATGGAAAAGAAGGAAATTCTGCCTTTTGTGACAACTTGGATAGACTTTGAGAGCATTATGCCAAGTAAAAAAAAGTCAGAGAAACACAAATACTGTATGTTCTCACCTACATGTGGAATCTAAAAAGGCCAAACCATAGAAATAGCAAATAGAATGGGGGTTCCCAGGGGTTGGGGAGTAGGGGAAATAGGGATACCTTAGTCAGAGGGTACAAACTCCCAGCTATATCCTGAATAAGTTCTGAGGCTCTAATATAGAGCATGGTACCTATAATTAAAAGGAGTATACTATCGTACTTGAAAGCTGAAAGAGTAGATCTTCCATGTTATCACCACACACACACAAAAATGATAATTATGGCAATGAAGGAGTTAACTAACCTTTGTGGTAATCATTTTACAGTATCTATCAAGTTATCATGTTGTACACCTTAAACATACATAAGTTATATGTCAATGATATCTCACTAAAGCTGGAGGGAAAACTGGTCAAAGAAAAAACCAAAAAGCAACCTGCAAGGGACACACACATGCCTATAGTGCTAAGTATCTAGCTTGTCACTATAAAGGGGCAGGGAGAAGTCAAACTTGAAGCTTATTTCATTTACCCTTTGTTTTCTAGATCTCAGCCATGTATTCCTCAGTAAATAAACCTGGACAGTCAGGGAATAAATCAGGACAGACTCTCAAAGCACCAGAGTCCAGCCACACCTCTGTCCAAGGAGCTACTCAGAGATCCCCCTCTTCCTGTAATGATCTCTATGCTACTGTTAAAGACTTCGAGAAAACTCCAAACAGCGTCAGCACTCTTCCACCAGCAGTGAGACCCAGTGAGGAGCCGGAGCCTGATTACGAAGCAATACAAACTCTAAACAGAGAGGAAGACAAGGCCACCCCAGAGACCAATGGCCAGCGTGGCCTTTTCCCAAAAGAGAATGACTATGAGAGCATTGGGGACTTGCAGCAATGCCGCAATATCACCAGGCTCTAGCAAGCGGGAAGACAAGCCCGCACAACGTATGCCGGCGGGCTGGGGGCATTTCTTCTACGGAGGACAAGAATTGAAAGCAACCCCTTCTCTGCGCGCTGCTCCAGTAACCCGATGACAACTGAACACGTGGAGACTGTTTCCTGGGGCTGGAAACAGTGAGGTACGTACCGGGACTGCCCCCGAGCGGGCCTCAGGGCCCACCCAAGCACATCTCCCTCATGTACCCTCCCCTTCTGGAAAGATCCCAGCTGTCTATGGTTTCACCCGGTGAGTGAGGAAAGCCGAGCTGCAAGGAAGAACTGCGTCCATCAAGAACCATGACTCCAACTGCCCAAGATACTGCCATTCCCAAGAGCCAGGTTTTTCTTCCTTTCTTCCCATTTTTGCGGTCTGCTCCTCACATTTAAATGTATGGCTTTCTTTCCCCTTGAAATCGTCTGACTTCTAATGGTTCATTCCAAGAAAATTCTCCCACAAGGCTTGGCCTTTGCCTTCAACTTTGGGGTTTCAAGATGTAAGAAACTGGTCGCTGGTTACTGTCAGGTGCCTAGTGCTCTTCTGAGAGCCACACCTGGGAGAACAAGAACCCCGCAGTGGGCAGGACTGGGGCTGCCCCCTGAGCTCCTGACACCTTCCTGCCTCCTGATTTGGGCCTCTACATCAGCAGCCTCTCACGAAGTACTTGAAGTCATTTTTAGATGCTTTATTTTATTTTTCTAGTCAAAGCGGTTCCCCTCCTCCACCCCCTACACACCCAGTATTTGAAACTCTTCAGAGCCTTTTCAGTATTTTCAATGAATATTGCGGTACTTCTATACTTGTTTCAGCCCAGAGCTCATTCCTCTGAAACAGAGAGCCTTAATCTCTATGTTGGGACACAGACCACATATCTGGACGGCAGCCATGGCGTCCGTCTCTGAAGGGCTGTGGACTTGAATGTGTATTTCTGATGACCCCTGCTGCCACACCAACAGTGTGAGATTTCATAAGTTAACTGCTACCCTAAGGTAATCTATCGAAAATTAAAATGTAAACATTTATTTTTGTTATATAAATTTATAAGATGTTTTATGTTTAATGCCTAATTTCTAGAAAGTGCCAGAAAAAAATGTATATTAACTATTTTGATTTTATGTACAATGATTTATACTCTCATTCTGAAAAAACACCATAAAGCACATAAGCTAGATAATTACATGTACTTGTTATCTGTTTTCTAATCAAGTATTTAAAATATTGAAGGTTTTTAAAGACTTGACTTTTCAAATGGTACTTGGAGCCCTGGTCAAAGTCATCTGGCTCACTACAGAAATAAGTGGAGTGGACATAAATGACCATTTTCCGTGATTTGTGGTGGGCAATACTGAAATATTTGAAATGGTAAAAAAAAAAAAAAATGGAAGAATGAAATATGACTAGGGATGACTGCATTAACCTCATGAAGGTATTATAATTCCAGTAAGATTTAGTTACATTTTTAAGAAAATTTACAGTGGTGGATTCTCCAATCCAGTGCTTGCAAATGCAAATTGCCTATTGGGACTTTTTTCTTCCCCTTCATTTTACAAAAATCAGTGGCTGAGGTAACTCCAATTAAGAGCTCAGCCTGGTTTGAATTTAATCATCTCTGTAGATTTTATAAGGCCAACATTGGGAAACTTGTTCACTTTTTATTTGAGAAGGACCCTGCTATTATGCGGAGTGGCTACAGCAAGGGGCCCTTGCTTACGCTGATTTAAAAAAGAGGCAGTTATTCCGTACTGCTGTGACATCTCTGGATTTTCAGACTGAATAACCTCACTGTTTTCACTCCTTATGACAAAGGATGCAGCCGGGAGGGCGAAGCATCTTGCGGACAGTAGGGACCACTGGTGTGTCCTTCCCGTCCCCTGCATTCAAGGCTTGGTTCTGTGACTGCCTGCAATTCATTTCTGCAATTGTGAAGTGAGCTTTGCCGGGGTCAACTGCTCAGTTGTCATTATTTTGCAGTCAGCCTGGTCTCTCCCATGAAGACCTCACAAGCCTAAGCACAGTCAACACGGACTAGAAGGAAATGGCAGAATACGCTTGGATTGGGGGAAACGTTATCAGGAAGGTGCCAAGGTCCTCACTCTCTAAATTCGTATCTTTCATAAGCACTGTTTTGCCTGGTGATTTTCTTTGCTTACTTCGTATTGATGAGTTTGACCCCACAATCTCTACACCGTGGGGTTTCTTTAGCTCCTGGTGATGGCCGTGTCACATGGCATACCTAGTATTGTGCTTGCTGCAATAATGTCCTTTATGAGCACCTGACCACTCAAAGGTTTTCCTGTACTTCATAATGTCTTTGCTTATTGCCAGGGAAGTGGATATGATCTCTAAAGTGTAAAATCATTTCTAGACAGAAAAGTTCTTTATAAATAGTCATATCCTCTTGAAACTTCATTATCAGAATTTCCTCCAGAAGTTCTGAAATAAAGGCTATGCAATATAGCCATAAAATATGCACTGAAATCTCTCTCTTGAGTTGAGGATCTGTGCTAAGAATAAGTTGCGATTTAAAGTATTATAAGTATATTTTAGAAGAAACTAGAAGGCCCTCCAGTACACATCCTAAAAGAAAAAGTAATAGCACAATCCATTAGGGTTGAGGGAGGGAGAAGCAGAGTAAGCTTCAGGAGCTGGCTCTGCTCTTGAGACTGCTGGGTACCTTACTGAAGCATTTTCATTGATGTATCATCGTGGTTTTGACCTGATAGTACAGCATTTCATAAATTTCATCACTTTTTATTTTATTCATTGAAAATCTGTGCTAGTCTTTGAGTGGGACAAAAGCCTATGGTTTCTTGAAAAAAGTTTCATGTTCAGCTAAATGTTACAGTTTAATTGTATGAGAGGTAATTATAATTTTTTTTCAACTTTGACATCTATATTATTCATTGTTATCATTTAGGTTATGTGAAATCTTATAAATAAAATAAGCTTTAGGAGATTCTTTTTGTTTGTTTATAAGTCAGAATTATAAACTCATCTTGCCTAAAAGTAGAATCTTTGCTATTTAGTCAGGTATTTTGAAGTTTTAGAAGAATTTTTTATGCTGCTTTTACGGTTTCTGAAATGTAGTCAGCAGGAAAGTATGACCTGTTTTATGTGAAATGTTTGAGGAAATTTTAAATTCTAGAAGAAAGCAATTTTTGCTAATATGTGGGCCACATAAACTTTTTTTCCAGTCCTGAACTAAATTACATTAGGTCTATTAAAAGCTTTTGAAAGTACTGCTGTCCTTTGTAGTGAAAAGGCTAATTACTGATTTATCTGCCCTCAAAATCTACCCTCAAAATCTAAGAGTTAATTTTAATTGAGTGCTAACAATAGGCAGTCCACACAAAAAACTAACATTTAATCTCAGGATGTCACTAGATCTGTTCTTGTATTAGATTTTCATTTTTCTAATTAGAGCATTTATTTACTTTAACCGGTAACAAACTGTATATGTGTGTGTATGTACACTATACATATATATTTATGTATACACACATATACATATATAAAGTTCTGGTGCCTGACTAGTGAGGATACATCCTAATATGTATTTGGAATGTCTACCCTATTAATGTGATGACTATTGTAATAAAAGCAGAATAGAAAAAAAGTTATCTAATAGTTTTCATTTAGTAATTACAAGAAAACCTTCCTAAGTTACCTCATATCATTTTTCTAATTAATAAATTCAGATTCTAAATTGCATCCATAATTCTCTTAGCTGAAGAACAGTGGTATTTTAAAATAGTTTTCTTATATGTGTGGCTCATTACATACTCAACATGACAGGAGGAAATGTAAATAGGCATCCTTCTCAGAGATCATGTGGAGAAGAGATCTGGCAGAAAGCACCAAGAGCCACGTGAGCCAGGATGGAGCCCCAGCAAGGTGACCCCCACTGGGTGGCAGGAGCAGAGCCTGTTCTCACAAGGCTGCATTTTCTTTCACTCTCTGGAGAGTTTAGCGCAGAGCCAACAAGCCCCGAGGTAGCATTACGGACGGAGCCCAGCTCGGAGGTGGGAACGTGGATAATCACAGAGCCGCAGCTCAAGACTCAAGTAGGATTTTGTAAATGAGTAAATGACGTTTTTTTCAGTGCTCCTTGTACTAGTTCCTATAAGCCCGTGTGATCGAGTGATGCCATTCTTCTGCAAGTGTTGGCTTCCGGTCCCTGCCAGCTTCCTCTGGGCTGCTGGAGGCACCGTCTTGACAGGCTTATTGCACTGTGTAATTGAGGAAAGTTAAAGTGTAATGTTTGCTGTTAATAAGTGACTGATGTGAAAAATAGGAACATGTGTCTAAATTTCAAATATGGCTTTTTTTTTTTTTGCAGTGAAATCTATATTCTTTGTCCTATGGTAGTATTTTCTTGCTCTGTGTTGTATCTTAACATCATTCTTGACAGTGCCATTGGACAAGTTGAACACACATAGAAAGTGTCTGATTTAAAGAGATCAGTACAGAAAACAAGCTAAATTAGTCTTCATCTGAAATTATGAAAGTGAATTTTAAAAAGCCGTGGTCCAGAAGAGAACAAATATTCATAAGTGGTTTTTTTCCCTACTGCTCATTTCTAAGTCTGTTTACAGCCAATCTCTGCTAGTTATAAAGTATTCCCTGTTTTCCTAGGTTCTTCTTTATTGAACTAAGAAATAGTTTGGATTTCTCTTAATGCCATGATTTTTATTAAAAAGGCAATTTTTAAGCATTCAGTTTGGTAATCACTTATCTTAATGCATTTAAATCAGATTTTTCTTTGCTCACCACTTATGCTAGGGGTATTTTTAAAAAATGTGTTGTACTCTGGTTGTCTCAGATCACCTTATGTAATGGATTATAAAGGCTGGTAAATGGTCATTCTGCAAACTTCTGTGTGTTAGATTGGCAACAGTTTAATGTTAGCTTGTAAACATCATGTATTATTGATGCACCTCATGTTTTCAGGGAAAGTATGAAATATAGCTAAGCAAATAGGAATTTGCATTTCATTGTTCATGCATTTTTTCCTCATAAAAATAGTTTCTCAAAAAAGTGACCTAT